ATGAAACCTCATCAACCACACGCCTCTATCGGCGACCACGTCATCAGGAGGCAATGATCAGAAAATGTTCTCCCGTGCCCTTTGCACATTTAACGACATGAAATTACACAACATAACATATATGAGACACACAAGACAGCTACCAAACTGATTTTCTGAGCCTGTCACCCGCAGGGGAGTTGTCTCTTCACAGAATGTGGCGTCCTGCAGCAGCGGAGGTGGCGGTGCTGCTGTAGCTCGTAGTCTTTGTAGTCTATCACAGAGGTTACACTGCTGTGAGATCGGTAGGCCCGAGCAAGCTTCGTAAAGAGAAATGCAGATAGATGTTCCTATCAACTGACTCCCTGGTCAGGCTTTGATGGGTGCTAGATGAGAGTGAGCANTCTCAGCTCAACAACAAAATATAATCAAGCAGGAAACACAGCAGGTTCCGAGGGTCTCCGGGGTAATGGCCCGCGTACCGGAATTTCGGGGTTCGGAACAATAAAACAACTACAGTCTCGCCTGCCAAATTATCTCCGCTACAACTCTGTGCTCATGTTCTCTGCTGAGTACCATCTCTTCTTTCTGTATTATGTCTACGGAAGGCTAGTTGCCGCAGTCGCACCTATGGTAAACTTTGCCTGACTACGTTGTAACAGTTTCCCTCGACACGACCCCTCGATTAGGCAAGTGGCCGATGTTCCAAACTTCACTTCGCCGCCATTTTTGCGACCCCTCGATTCCCAATCCATATCAAAGAATATCGACCTCCACATGAGTGAATCCATCCTGTGAGCAATACACGCGTCCAAAACATTCAACCATATGCGATCTTGTGCTTAATATGTTCTAGCACTTGTAGTCCTTGATGAGTTGCATGATGGTGGCGAATCGCTGCTTCGGGAGATGTTTCGTCGCGATGTCCGCCAACATCGTGGCACTAGGTTGGTGGTGAAGAGTGATCCGGTGCCCCTTCGTGAGTTCCCTGAGGAAGAAGAACCGGAGCGCGATGTGCTTGGTCCTAGAGCTGAACATCGCGTTGCTGGCCACAGTCAATGCTCCGGTGCTGTCGCTGTTGATGGGTACCGATCGAAAGGTCTTGAATCCGATTTCCGTCATGAAGTTGGAGATGTAGACTGCCTCGCGAGCACTGAAGCTCAGCGCTTGAAGTTCGGCCTCCACGGTGTTCTGTGCTGCGAGAGTCTGTGCCTTGGCTCCGTAGCTGATCAGTCCCCCTCCTAGGAAGAACAGGTATCCGGTGGTAGACCTGCCGTTGTCTGGGTTGGCTCCAAATGACGAGTCAGTGAAGCACGAGAGTCTGAACTGCCCCTTCTTGTACACGATCGGCAGGTCTGGCGTTCCGCGTAGGTACCGTAGTAGGTGCTTGGCCGCAGCCATGTGGACCTGTGCTGGGTTTGCGCATGCCCGTGTCAGTTGGTGCACTGCGTATGACAGATCGTAGCGGGTGCATTGGGCAAGGTACAGGAGACTCCCGGTGATGGCCTGGAATCTCTGCTTGTCCTCGGGTCCGAGTAGTTGGTCTTGTGGCTGCTCGGTTGATAGTTCTGCTCCATACCCGGGGGTGCTGACCGGGTTTGCCTGTTCCATTCCGTATCGCTGTAGGATATCTCTCGCGTAGGGTCCTTGCGATATGGCTAGTGTGCCATGTTCGTAGTCCCGCTGCACTTCGATGCCGATTACGCGCTTGACCTCTCCCATGTCTGTCATTTCGAAGCTGTCCATGAGTTCCTTCTTTTTCCTGCTTACGATCTCCTTGTTTCCGCCCGTGATGAGGATGTCATCGACGTAGATCGCGAGGATTGTGAGTTCGTCCCCGCTTACGAAGATGTAGACACAGGGGTCAGAGCGAGTGCGCTGCCAGCCGAAGATGATGAGTCTGTCATTGATGGCGTCGTTCCACAGTGACGGGGACTGTGACAGGCCGTACAGACTTTTCTCCAGTTTGTAGACCATCATTTCACCTGTCGTAGGGTCCCTCTCCTCGTCGCCTGGCGCCGGCCTGACGTAGACGTCTCTGTCGGTGTACGCGTTCAGGAATGCAGCTACCACGTCCAATTGGTACACCTCCCATCCGTGTTCGCAAGCGATGGCGAATAGCATGCGGATGCTACCCAATCGGGTTACTGGAGCGTAGTTCCTTCCGAAGTGTCGTCCTGCTCGTTGGCGGTGTCCCCCCGCGACTAAGCGGGCCTTGAAGCGGCTGTCGGCCTTGATCTTGAACACGAAGCGTGTGTCGAAGATGTCCTCATCCTTCGGTACCAGGCTGATGCGTACTTTCTTAAAGACTTTGTGCTTGGCGAGATTACCCATCTCGGTGTCGATAGCGCTCTTCCACTGCTCGCGTTGTGGTGAGTTCATGGCTTCGGTGTACGTGCTCGGAGTTTTGATCTCTTGGTGTGTCTCCCCCAAGAACCCTTTGCTCGAGGTGCCCGTGGCGTAAGCATACGCCCGGACTTCGGCGAAGGGGTCTTCATCCAGGTGAGCAAAATCCGCCGCGTCAGTAGGGCATCGTTGCTGCGCTTGGTGGGTGAGATCGAGTAGTTGATCCTCGGTGAGCTCCAGTGGGTCGGGGTGGCTGACAGCCATGGCAGAGCGGCCCCTGTCGTTCATGTTCACTTCCAGAGATTTCGGGATGCATGAAGGGTCGATAGGGTCATCTGTGGGTTGGTGAGTGCGCGTGGCAGGACGGGTCACCGTTAATCGACGCATTGGGATGGGGGCTGGCGAAGCGGAGTCCGTGTCTGTTGGCGTCGTGGGTGATTCGAGTGTCGTGTCCTGCGATGTCCTGGATGGTGTCGTAGTCCGCGGGTTGTTATTGCTGTCATCTCCCCCAGCAGCAAAGTTGTCGTCGGAATGCGTGCCCGCGTTGTTTTGGCGAAGTTCTGCTCGGCTGATGTTGTCTTGCTGCATGTTG